TACCCGCCTTGGCAAAGGCATCAATAAATACAGGATTGTCATTCTTTAATATAGTAGAATTAAAAAACAATGGTTGTTCGTATACAAAGAAACTGTTTCTGTTTTCATAAAATACATCATTAACAGCCTGAAAGGCATACCATGCCTTTATCATCTCCCGATAAACGATCGGTAATACTCTAAGGTACTTATCAGAGAATTTACAATAAATTACTTCTGTACCCAACTGTAAATTCAGAATTTTGTTAAAGAAATATCGACACATACATTTCCAAGCAGCACTACAGGAATTATCCAACCACCTGAACAAAAATTTCAACCTAAACGATCTTAGTTTTAATTCCATGTCCGGAATATTTAGACCCCCGACTTCCCTTTTACCAATTATAGTATCATAGGCAACCAGGTGAGCACCATTATTCCATAAGAAATCTATACATGCTTTCTTAATATTATTTATAAAAACCAAAGGTATTGTCTGAGAGGTAATACAATACCAACACCTTGACATAAGTAAGGCACTAATTACAGTAGCTCTTCCATGTAGAGTCAGCTGTCTTTGAGACCATGACCTTAAAATAGATTTAATAGAATTAACTTTATTCTCCCAATTCTTCATATTACAATCATTAGTATCTGTACCAACATAAACACCAAGTACACATATACTCTTTTTACATACAGTAATGCTTAACTGATCCACTTCATCATTGGAAATACTTCCTTTACCTACACACAAGATCTCCGATTTATCTTTATTTATCTTGGCTCCTGAACCTTTACTATATACTTCTAATAAGTTAAAAACTTTACTAATAGACTGTTTGTCACTTAGTGTCAAGGTAGTATCATCAGCGTGTTGATATACCTTTGACTCGAAATTTGCACAAGGCACTTTGATACCAGAAATATCAGGAGATTTTGAAAACATACAGCCCAAAGGTTCAGCAGTCAAAACGTACAGCATAGCCGAAATCGGACAACCCTGTCTAACTGAATTGTGCACAGGAAAAAACTTTGTAAGATTCCCATTATACTTAACACAGCTAGAGATTTTAGAATAAAAAATCTTAACCCAATTAATAAAATTTTCCCCAAAACCAAATTTCTGTAAAACTTTGAACAAATATGAATGTGAAACACGGTCAAAAGCTTTCTGTTGGTCTATTTTAAGTATGTAACCCTCAGAATTCTCCTGATCAATAACATCAATAATATCTCGGACACTAAAAATAGTGTCAGAGATGTCTCTACCAGGTACACAGCATGACTGAAATCTTGAAACAATAGAGGGTAAGACTGATTTAAGTCTATTGGACATAACTCTGGCTAGTATTTTATAGTCTACATTTAGGAGACTAATTGGGCGCCAATGTTTTAACAAAGATTTATCACCCTTCTTTTTATAGACAAGATTTATAACACCTTGTTTCATAGTTCTGGAAAGTTCTTTATCTTCCCAGATACTATGAACAACACGAGGAAATACAAAACGCAAATCCTCAAAAAAATGACAATAAAACTCAACAGTAAGTCCGTCTAAACCAGGACTTTTGTTTTTAGACATACCAAACAATGCTTCTTTAATTTCATCAACAGTGATAGATGCGTCACACTTATCACGATCTTCATCGGTCACTGTTGTATCAATATAGGACAAAAGATGATCAATATCATCATCAGATGTGTTGGTACAATTATACAACTCACTATGGAAATTAAATATTTCATGAGATAACTCATCTTCACTACTTACAACTTTACCATTTATACTTTGTAGTTTTTTAATCGCATTACAGCCTTGTCTATATTTCTCTAACCTTAAAAAGTAACCAGTACATTTGTCTCCATCTACAGCCCATTTAGCCTTTGACCTTAAAACTGCCCCATTACATTTTTCGCCTTCAAACTTTTCTAAACTATGCCGTAACGCTTCATACTTATCACAATCAAACTTTTTTCCATTAGCAATATCACAAGAAAACGCTTGTAACTTATTTTGAATTCTATAAAATTCAGCATTACGTCGTTTACTCCGGTCTTTACCATAGACCTGAGAAAACTTTTTAATTTTGTATTTCAAATTGTCCCACCAGACTTTGGGTTCACTGATATACAAATCACAAGTTCTGGCCTCTGTAATAATATATCTGATTTTGTTATTAAAATCATCCTCTAATAGATATGAATTATTAAAAATCCAAATACCAGGACCTTTACTTCCTAAAGCACAGTCTACTTTCATGACTACAAAACAATGATCACTGAAAGATGTATCATTGTAGTAAATGTTCTGTACATAAGGACCTAGTCCTTTTGAAATTAAGAAGTAGTCTATACGGCTTTGTGATAATTTACCATTACTAATCATCTTACGAGAAAAAATAGCGCAATTTCTGTTTCTTTTTCGCCAAATATCGTAAACGTCACATGTAAACATTATACTGTTCAATGCAGTCACACTGGGATTTACCTGGTGTGTCGTAGCACCAGTACGGTCAAGTGTAGATAAGGTTGTATTGAAATCACCCCCTGTAATCAGGTTCTCTGTAAAAGGCACTAGCCAATCTTTTAACTGATCAAAAAATACTTTTCTGTCACTCACAATATTAGGCGCATAAATATTAACAATATTCCATTTCATATCTTCTATTTCAATTTTTATTCGCAAGACTCTCCCACCATAACCGTCAAATTCAATTAAACTATCTTTCAGATTGTTTGATATCAAAATAGCAACACCTTTTCTGTGGTCATTGCTATTGTTAGAAATAATCTTACCTGCCCACAAATGGTTAATTTGATTAACAAAATTATCATCCCAGAATGTTTCTTGTAGCAATATTACATCAAAATGGTTATATTTGCAATATTCAAAAACATTCCTTATCTTGACTACATCTCTCAAACCATTTATATTTAAAGACAAACACGTAAACATAAGAAAAACCAAGAAAACAAAATTCATTCTAAATTTTTCTTAACTTTTTTGTGTTTCTGCTTTTTCTTTTTCTTCACACCACAGTCTCCCACCCTTTGTTTTAGACAATCGCGCCCCTTTCCACCACTCTGCCTACCCGAATCAAGTCTCTCATCCCCCATCTTTTCACTCTCCATTTTTGGCTGGACTGTCATACCTTGGAGAGGAAAAACATCGCCGTATACAGGAGAACCACAAACGTTCGGCCTCTCATCACTCAAAATGACGTCTGTCTGACTCCAAATACCTTCCGCGTAGTTTCCTTCTTCACTATCATCATCATCGCTAACATCATCCTCATCATCATCATCAGTTAATGACTCAGCAGTCAAACTAACTTCGAGATTCTCACAGGTGTGTTCCTCATCAACAGCGCTGCTAATCTCCACCACAGGAGCCATACCACCGTCTTCACTTCTGGAATCCATCACCATATCAGCATCTTCATTATCAGCCTCAGCAGCAACACTGACACAGTCATCAGAGGGTCCCTTCCCTTCCGTCTCAACCCAGTCGTCTGCCGACTCCTCCTCACCGACCAATTCACTGTCGTCACGATTGGCCTCCGTGTCAAAACACCTGCAGTTATACACACCGCATCGGTCACACAGTGTATCGATACACCTGGCTGCACGCACACAATCACATGCATACCTCACCTCGCCACAGCGAGTACACGGCTGCGTTTTACAGGTTTTTCGGAAGTGTCCTTGACCACCACATGTAAAACAAACAAACTGGGGACAGTCTTTGAAAAGGTGTTGATCAGAATAGCACAGTGAGCACACTTTTAACTGATTGTCATGTATTACACGATGATATTCCTTGCCAAACTTCATAGTGTATGGCAATGATTTCAAACTAGGGGGTAGCTTTACACGTACATATCTTGTTCCATCCGCTACACTTGTTCCTTTGTAGAAACGTCGTTTTATTGGGGATACTAAATCAACACCAAGAATTTCAAGTTTTTCTTTTATTTCATCATCACTGATATATGCTGGAAGATGTAGAAAACTAACCAGCGTGAACTTCTTAGTGATATCATGACATTCGTACCTTTTTCCGTCAATCAAAACACCGTCCAGTAATATGTTGATCCCCGCTCTACCCTCTAGGGTGACCTCGAACAAATTCCCGGACTTCGGGACGCATGCAAATACCGAACCTTCGCCGCACAGTTCAGTTATCACATCAATTACTTTGTAGGCTTTCAACGATTTGTTGTCTACAACATCAATTATTACAGTATTGTCTTTCGTATAGCGCCTATGTCCACTAGGTACGGCCTGAGGGGGCCCAGAGGACCCCATCCCCCCGGCACGTACCTGCCAAAAGAGATATGGCAAATACGGCGAAAATCGGGGAAATATCACATCACAATTATTTATGGGAATGAAAAATGTCAATATTCCACAAAAATCAAATCGACAGGGCCAGAGACCCTAGCTTACCACCGATGAATGTAGATTTCAACACTGCTAATAGACAAGCGTCCATTCGCTACGAAATCAAAACCGGAAGTTCACGACGAGAACCGGTGTTTTCAACGTGATATGGCCGTAGACACTAGACGACTAAAAGTTTGCCTATTTATACATGGCTTTCTGCATGTGCACATCCGGCGTACATGTATACTTGCCATGTCCCATCGTACGCGACCACCTTGAACAGTTGACCAAGGGCAGATGTGGAGCTGCCAGATGTTTTGTCTGTAATGATGTTCATTGCATGTGCAATGTAAAAGTGTAGAGTTGTGAGTGTGTACATTTGATATGTGCAGAGTGGAAATAGCAGTGGTCACGACTCTAGCCTTCAGTGAATAAAAAAGGACAAGGACTCAGTATTCGAGTAAAAAATGTGTCGGCCGTTATGTTAGTGAGGATTTTGCGAGGGGTAAAAATGATTTAAAAACGAAATTATGAAGAAAAACAAAAGCCTACGACACCTGGTATTCCCAGGCGGTCACCCATCCAAGTACTAACCAGGCTCGACGTTGCTTAACTTCGGTGATCGGACG